ATTTATGAATGAGAAACTTCTGACTGGGAAAGAAAATTCAGAATTTGACTTTAACAAAAATTCTCATGATAATATAGAAAATACTAAATTCAGATTAGATTAATCTCAATATTGTGTGGCTATCAAAAAGAAGATACATATTTAGAAAATAAAAAGAGTGCCACATACATTGATGCTGAGTAGATACTAGGAGTAGGAAGAGAAATTTGTAACAAGGGAATGGTCTATCTTGTCTTGCTCCTGATGTTCTTTCACTTCCTAACATAGAAACAGGACAAGGATCCCTGTTTATTTCTGGCAATACTGGAAGGGAGAGTATGGCTTCTAGGTCAAGGTTTAGCTACAATGTTATTTCTTAGGATGAGCTTCTTTATAACTATGTTATTCAAGAAGAAAAGAAACTTTGTTGTTATCTAAAGAAGGAAAAGGGAAAATATATAGCTTCCGAATGGCTTTTTCCTTTCGAATATATTATTGCCAAGGGCTGCCAGCTTGTTTTTAGAAGCAAAAAGTGAACAAACTGCAACATTAACAATGGCATTAAAGCCACTAAAAGTTGTTTTCTAAGTCATTAAAAGTGTATCCACATTCATGGAAGCATTATTCACAATAGTCAAAAGGTGGAAGCAATCCAAATGTCCATGGACAAATGGATGGAAACATAAGACGTGGTGTATACATACAATGGAATATTATTCAGCTTTAGAATAGAAGGAAATTCTGGCACATGCTGCAACATGGATGAGCCTTTCTTGTTGAAGAGAAATAAGCCAGTCACAAAAACTGTATGATTTCACTTACATGAGTTTTCTAGAGTAGTCAAACCATAGAAACAGAAAAATGATGGTTATCAGGGGCTGGGGAGATGCAGAAATACAGAGTTGTTGTTTAATGGGTGTAGAGTTTCAGTTTTGCAAGATGAGACAGTTCTAGAGATTGGTTGAAGAACAATGTAAATATACTTAACGCCACTTAACTGTACTCTTAAAAATGGCTAGGATGTCAAATAGTTTACCACAATTAAACATTTTAAGAAATCAATGAGTAACCCTAAAAATTATGAAGGACTGAAATTTTAAAATAAACTTTAAAACAGTCTGAACAATATTTTTAAAAAGTTATTAAAAGTCAATGAGAGTCTCAAGTTGGAATGGGGCATTACCAGCCTAGCAAAATCACACCAATGTACCATACAAAGGTGAATAAGCAACCGCAAAGGCCTTCAAATAATAATTGTGAGGTCCCAATTGGGGTTCCCTTCTTGGTTGTCAAAATAGAAGGGGAAAACTCAGAAGAGCCAAACCCCCAAGAACCTTCTTGAAAAGAGAGCTGATATATTTAGGTATGCTCTTGGCATTGGTGAAATTCTAATAGCTTAATGTTCTACAGTACTTGTGGGAATTATGAATTCTATGATATGCTTAACTGCCTTAGGAAAGGCTTGATTTTTTTTTCTAAGGCCTTTGTTTTTTTCCTAAAAGCTAGAAGCCTGACCATGAACAATTAAGCCTTTTTCTCTTCCCTACCTACTGTTATTACATTTTATGAATCTTCAGCAACTGAAGACCTTTATCCAGTGAATAATTTGAGGGTGAAAAAGGTGAGTTACTACAGTATTGATCTGTCAGGAGCACGTTCTCAGAGTTCTGCTGAAGCAAATCTGGTTGTATAAGGAGCTGCTTAGCCGAGACCTTTCCAATAGTGTTTTCTAACATTAATTGTCCGTTTCCTTTGCACTGTTTTGGGTAACATTGAATAGACATGTTTATACAACTTTTTATAAAATGTATTTATTTGTCTTTCCCACTTCTACTTATTCTTTATTTCTTATTACATTGTCTGGAAAGCTGTGGCAATGAGGTCAGTGTTTTTCCTATTTTGGTGACTGACAACATTGAACTTTCATAGATGTGATTTTGTGACAGTAGTAATCTAGCTTGCTGCCCTTTCATTGTCCTCAGTTGACCTGCTTCTGTATCTCAGTTATTAGTGCTTTTACAGAAAAGAGTGGATGCTGGGCGTGGTAATCCCCACACTTTGAGGGGCTGAGGTGGGAGGATCTCTTGAGCCCAGGATGTTGAGGCTGCAGTGAGCTGTTGTCATGCCACTGCACTTCAGCCTGGACAACAGGGTAAGACTCTGTCTCAAAAAGAAGAAAAAAAAAAAGGAAAAGAAAAGAGTGGAGAACTAGGCGGATCAGGCCATAGAGACAGGCATAGCATTGATAAGGTGCTCTCTCTGCCAATCCCTGAATCAAGGGACATTTCCCTGCTTGGTTAGTTATACTGATGTATTCCAGGTCAGATGGTTTCAGAGACAGAGACGGAGGGGAAGTGAGAAGGGAAAGTAGGAGTTTATAGTCAAATTCATGAGTATTCAGTCAAAACATGTTGCTTTAGGCACCTAAATTACTTAGATTTTATAATCTTATACTTAGAAGTGAGTTACTGCAATGATATACTAAAAGAAAAAACTCTCACTGACAATTTAGCCAAGTGGATTTCTGATTCTCCTGAGAACAGTGTGGAGATATTACTGTTGGCTTCATCCTCCTTCACCTGCTCCCAGCCATATGGCTACCTACATGCTTCCAGTGCAAAGCAGAGGAGTGGTGAGATAAAATGATTTACTCCCTCTGAATAAAGCTGGCTTGTTGTCACGACGAATGCCAGAGGGAATCTTCCAAAACATAAAAATACTTATATTGGGATATTGTAGTAAGTCAGATATTAGCTGCCCAAAAGCTATGTCCATGTCTTGGAAGCAGTGAATATGACCTTTTTGGAAGAAGTCTATGTAGCTCAATTAAGTTAAGGATCTTGAAAAAAGAGCATCCTGTATTACCCAGATTAGCCTTAAATCTAAGGACAAGTGTTTTTAAAAGAGAGACACAGCGAAGGCCCTGAGAAGACAGAGGCTAGATCAGAGTTATGTAGCCACAAGCCAAAAAAAATACGCCCAAAGCCACCAGAGCTGGAAGAGGTGAGGAAGAATTCTCCCTAGAGCCCTTGGAGGGAGCACAGCCCTGCCAACACTTTGATTGCAGACTTCTAGCCTTTGGGACAATCAGAGAGCAAACTTCTGTTGTTTTAAGCTGCTAAATCTGTGGTGATTTTTTACAAGAGCCTTACGAAGCAAATACAGATATCTTCCTTAGAAATGGTAGAATCTTATAATGTGAACTGTTTGCAGCGAACAGAAACTTTTTTTTTTTTTTTTTTTTTTTTTTTTTTTGGGATTGAGTTTTCCTATGTTGTCCAGGCTGATCTGGAACTCCTGGAGTCAAGTGATCCTCCTGACTTCAGCTTCCCAAATAGGTAGGAATATAGGCTTGCACCACTGCCCCCCGACCCCTGGCAGAAACAGCAGTTTTCAGTACCAGTGTGGTAGGCAATGGCTAGATGCCTAACTTAAATTATCCCTGTTTTGAAGATGAAGAAACTCAGGCTCATGAGGTCATGTGGAGAGCTGGCTGGGAATCCTGCTGACAGGTGTTATAGTGAAGTGGTTACAAGCTTGGGCTCTGGTCCTGTCTGGGTTTGAATCCCAACTCTATTCTTACTAATTTTGTGACCCTGGCCAAGTTACTCAATCACTCTGACCCTCAGTTTCTCTAACTGGAGAATAGGAATAAGATAACTTAATTCACTCAAATGCTGGGATGATTAAAAAGTATAAAATATTTAGAATAACACATAGGAAGAGCTAAGTGAATGCTAGCTATTATGATTATTACCACACTATGCTAATATGCTGTTGCTAGATTATGACTACCAGGCAAAGAATGAAAGAGAATGGGATCATTTTTAAGGCAGGACATGTGACTTTTATTGGTTACTAAATTCAAAGCCAGTTTTAGAGAGGTTATTCTTCAGAATGTTTATTCAATTTTGGTGTGGCTGTCATAAAGGAGACAAACAGGCTTCAGCAACCTCAATGGCACCTGTTCTTTCTTGAATACCTTACAGTGTTTTACAAATGCCAGGCATCCTACAAGTATTTTTGAATTAGTAAAATCGAGGCTTGTTATCAATAATGTTAAGGTAATATTGAGCTTTCACAAATATTTTTAAATGAAGAAACTATTGCCAACCATTTCAGAGTTACAAATCTCCGAAAACACTGTAGCAAAAGGGGAAGGATTAGGAAACAATCATTCATAAGATAAATCTATTTCTTTTTGTCCACGTCCCCTACCCTTGGCTGATAGGTCACTTTTACTACAGGTCACTCATTATAATTGAATAAAAGTGGACAGGCAGCTAGTAGTATCTAGGTGTTTTTTTGTAATTCTATTTCTTTTTCTTTCTTTATTAAAAATAAAGGAACCAGAAAGAAAATTAATGTTCTATTATAAACGTTAGGTATCTTCATTTTAATTGTTAATATTTTTTGAAAATAATGTTTTCATTTTACCATATTTTTCTCTGAATTTGTCTGATCTGGTTAATTAAATGCTTATTAGAACATATATTCCTCTCTTGTACCAAAGGTCTTCAAGGATAAGATGCTGCTCCATTTAAATAAAAGATGAAGGATGTCGAAACACAAGCAGCCCCTTCATTGAAACACAAGCAGCCTTTAATCACTAGACCCATAAATAAGACAGTAGCTGGTGCTATGCAATTCTAACACTGGCACTGGTGCTGGGATTGGCCTTTTCTAGGCAGGAGTTCTTAACCTGGAGGTCAAGGACTTGCGGGGAGGGTCCTATGGACCCTTTGCAATGTATGCAAATTTTGTATAAACATTTTTTGGCACACGTTTCAAAGGAACTTGGAATATCCATAAGCTGAGACCACCAAATCACTAAAGCTAATTGCCCCATTTTATTCCCTTGTATCATCTCAAATGCCAATATAGTATCCAGTGTATAATAAATGATTGCTGGCTGCTTAGGAGAGAACTAGAAGCTTCATTGTGTTAATGACACCATCTCACAGTGAAAAGGGGCAGACTTCTCAAAGGAAGCCTCCATGATATAATCAGAATTTACTTACCTAAGAAAGTCCAGGTCTGGGTCTTCAACCTTGCTCCTTCACGAAATGATCCAGTGTGGGTTACTTCTCCTCTCTGGGTTGCTGTTTCCTCATCTGCAAAATAAAGATTTGAATTAAATAAACCAAAAGATGTCTTCAAATTTCAAAACCATTCTGTCCCATGTAAAAGGTCATTAAACCACTTAGATGGATAAACTCTCACAAGTCTAGAATGTGTTATAAAAACAAACTTCCCCAACCTAGCAAGGCAGGCCAACATTCAAATTTAGGAAATCCAGAGAACGCCACAAAGATACTCCTAGAGAAGAGCAAGTACAAGACACATAATTGTCAGATTCACCAAAGTTGAAATGAAGGAAAAAATGCTAAGGGCAGCCAGAGAGAAAGGTCGGGTTACCCACAATGGGAAGACTGTCAGACTAACAGCGGATCTCTTGGCAGAAACTCTACAAGCGAGAAGTGAGTGGGAGCCAATATTCAACATTCTTAAAGCAAAGAATTTTCAACCCAGAATTTCATATCCAGCCAAACTAAGCTTCATAAGTGAAGGAGAAATAAAATCCTTTACAGGCAAACATATGCTGAGAGATTTTGTCACCACCAGGCCTGCCCTACAAGAGCTCCTGAAGGAAGCACTAAACATGGAAAGGAACAACCAGCACCAGCCACTCAAAAACATGCCAAATTGTAAAGACCACTGATGCTAGGAAGAAATGGCATCAACTAACGAGCAAAATAACAGGATCAAATTCACACATAACAATCTTAACCTTAAATGTAAATGGGCTAAATGCTCCAATTAAAAGACACAGACTGGCAAATTGGATAAAGAGTCAAGACCCATCAGTCTGCTGTATTCAGGAGACCCATCT